TCAGTCTAACTCGTTAAAATGGTCGGCGCGTATCTGAAAATATGCCATTCCAGTCAAAGCTTTGGTAAAGTAACTAGAATTTCTAAAACTCTGCTGTTATAAAAGAAAAGATTCTTATTGAATTTATGCAAATAACTATATTGCCAATAAAATGTGAACATTTATAAATAGTTTTAAAATTTGGAGAAATCAAGTAAAAAATAATGTTTAAAATTGTTTACAAAACTTTACCAATTTGTTGTCAGCTATAAATAGCTCAAAGAAGGAAAAAGTTTTCTTAATTTCTGGAAAACAAAGCACACACACGCAAAAGAAACAGCAGCGTTTTAAACATAGACAAAAAATTTAGTTCAGTTTTATGTTATTAATTTTTTTGTTCTGTTTGAGGTTGGGCTAGCAATCGTCACGAACATACCAGTTTTTTTTTTTTCTTTAAAGTAAGCCAATTTCTTTAGAGCCCTTAGAGTATCTAGATGAAGTGTCGAGGTATTAAACTTGAAGCATCTTCAGTTAAAGTGGAAGTAGCTTTTAAACAAAAAATAAATGTTACTATTTGGAATAGTTTATGCTGGAGTTTGTATATCACAAGGTGTGCTTGCAGGGCCTCAGGAAAAAGGTGGTAGCAAATTTCATTGAGTTCCAGTCAGAAAAATGGAAGAAAAGTTTGAAAACATTTGGAGACTTGTAGCCAGGAAAGAATTCAGGATTTAGTCTAAATTGTATGATCTTTAATGTTATCAGAAACTTGTATGTAAGAGCACTTGTCAGAGTCCTTCTTATGAATTTTCTTGAAGAAGAAAATTCTGAACTGTAGTTAGTTAAAAAGTATTTTTAGGGAAGAATTAAAATAATTGTAACAAAAAGTCTTAAAATAGCCATGGTTAAAGAGACAATTGACAGGGAAATTTGGCTATTTCTTTGGCACATAACAGTTTAACATAATAATGATAATTATTATAGTGGGGACTCGCGGGGAGCTCATGGTACCGGTTGGAGAAAGAATTCTCACACCGGGAATAGAATAGTTTTGAAGAAACACATTTTAAAGAAATAAAAAGAAAGTTTATTTTACTTCCCAAAGGTGGGAAGGGCATGACAGGAAAGAAGGAAAAGAAAGTGTCAGCACAGCGGATAGAAGGTTTGGGGTTTTTATTTGGAGGCAAAGAGAAAGAAAAAACGTGATTGCAGCCAACTGATGGCAAAATGGCTGTGAAACTGCTGCATGTGCTTTTTAATTTTTTTTTCTTTTCTCTGTAAGGCTGAACTTTATCAGTCCTTGACATCTGGTTTTGGCTGGAACTGAGACAAAGGGCTGGAGTGGGAGCTCACAGCCCTGTTATCAGCTTAGAGCTCTTCAAGGCTGTGAAAAACAAACTCTTGGAGATAACAAGTTGCGCCCCAGATGTTTAATCAAAGAAAACAAAGGGCAGTTGTGCTATGAGTTTTCTCTTCAAAGGGGCAATATGTGCTGTTAGTTTATTTCTCTTTCTGTTTGATAGTTTATTGATAGTTTATTTTCTGCTGTTAGGCTACTTGATTAACAAGGCCACCTTTGAATTATTTCTCATACACCAAGACACATCAGAATTTTAGGAATCTGTACAGTTTTGAAACACATATTAATAACATGTTTATACAAATATAACCCAAAGAAATTTAAATACCATTTTATATTTGACAATGCTTTCTGTGTAGTTTTAGCATACCAAATAAGCCGAATATGTCTCTCTTAGACGTTATTAAAAAAAACTAGTTTGAGGTCAAAAAGATTGAATTTAAAATTTTGATTTTGACAAGTTTGTCAAATATCAAATGATTAAAACACTTGTCATAAAGCAGAATTACAGATTCCTGTAAGATAATAGTCATGTATTCAGCCAAAGTGATAATTCAGAGATTTTAAAGGTAAGAACTTTACTCTTTAGTAGACAGGAGACTCAATTTCCCAAACAAATAGACCTAATAAAGACAAACTGAAAAGCAAGCTAATAAAGAAGGTAAACTGAATTTCTTTCTCTCTCTCCCCTCTTTTTTTTTTTGCAGTTTACTCAAAAGTTGGAAAAAAATTTGTTTTTATTAATATTACATGGAAATTTTGTTTAAAAGAGTAAACCAATTTTTAAATCTTTGCATTAGTGTATTAAATGTTAAACTTAATTTTAATAAAAAACTGTACAGACAAATCTGTTTAATCTTAGTCAGTCTGACCATAAGGGTAAGATTTCTGTAAGCTTGGAGAAAAAGACATTTGAATCAATTTTTAACATGTATACATGGGAGCCTTTAGAATGAAAACCTAGCAAAACAGGGTTGGGAAGGAGAAGAGAAAGAGGTTAGCAAAGGGACTCTTGTTATGCAAATAAAGTCTCATAGTTCGTAGTCCTCAGGAAGAGTAAAGTAAATGTTTCCTTTTAAAACTTTAATGGTATGGGACTGTCAGTTAATCTTTTTTAGTTTAGGTAAAGGAAAGTCTTGGCAGTATTAATGGATATTCTCTGCAAGTGTGAAAAGACATCTATAGAGATGTGTACACAGACAGCTTGTAGCATGCATCTCAAAATATGTTGAAGAAATATATTTTGTAGTCAGCTATGCTGATTTTTTTTTTTTTTTACTGGCTGGTGTATTGCAGCTGTGGAGGTTTTAGTTAATTTTAGAGGCATTGTTTTCCATAATTGGTCAAATCTAATGTAAAATAAGACTAAAACCAAAAACAGGAAAAAAAAGAGCGATTGCATAATTAATATTGTTGATATCGCTAAGCATAAGGAGAAGTTATAGCCAGCTGGCAATAAGCCTTAATTCTCAGCTATCAAATTCTAAAATGAAATCCCAGACCAGCTCCTTCCCTGGAGATGGGGCCCAAGCTGAGCCTGCTCCCCATTGTCACAGAAGCAGGAAACTTGCCTTCCTTACCAGAAGTGAGCAAAACTCCCTAAAGGAGTTGCATGGCAGAGTAAATCTCAGATCTCAACTGCAAAGTTCAGAGATCCGGGGATCTCTGGAGGGAGCAGCCCAAAACCTCAGTGAATTGCCCAATGGGTCAGAGCGGTAAGGAGCTCTAGCTGGTACCAAGGGACCAATTGGAAAATTGCTACAGGTTAAGAAGGCCAAACTCTTCTCAGAGGTCCCTTTGTGGTCAACATTTGTCGACCCAAGTAAATGACTGAGGCAAAAAATCTCAGTCAATGGAGGTTTATTAAACCAACGTCGAGGACGCACTCTGGAAAAACGTGAACTGCAGACAAGCGGTGGCTGTCTTTCCAAAGGAGAAGTTGGAACCTTTACCATTTTGAAGGGATACAGAGAGAAGGAAAATAGACAGGGTGTGGGGCTGATGAGGCAAAGTGGTTACATTCTTGTGAGGCCCACAAACTCTACATTTTACGTAAAATGAGGACAAAGAAGAGAAAAAGGGAGTGAAGGAAGCATCAGTTATGTAGATGTCCCCAGGTAGATGTTAGAATGTCTGATTCTGTCTTGTTTCAGTTCTGTTCCATGTAAAGATAAACTTGTAATTCATTATTAGTGTGTAAATTGAACATGCTTTAGTTTTAGATGCTAGACATAGTTACAATTTGCATGTCCTTATGAGATTCCAGCAAGGAATTTCCTTAATGAATGATCTGGGGCCAGTTCTTCACAGGTGCCTGAGGCTTTTACTTTCTCTTTTGCATGAGGAGTTTAATTGGGGTGGCCCTGAGACTTTGTTTCCCATTTTACAGTATTGGATAGTTTTTGCTGTGATCCATTTGGAATTAATTTTTGTGTATGGTGTAAGGAAAAGGGGCACCAGTCACTTTTTTAGTTGCTAAATTAATCAACCCTTCAAAATCCCTACCTTGTTTATCTCTTGCTTGAGGAACTGTCAGTCACTCACACACCGTTGAAGCTCTGCCTGTGGCTTCTGAGGCTGTTTCTCATCTTGACTCTTCATTCATCCTTTCCTTCTTATTCGTCATGTGTTAGAACATTTTTTTATTAGAAACCCACAATATGCAGGAAACTGTTGTAGGTGTTGGTTCTGCTCCCTCTTCTCAATTTATAATCTTCTCTTGGCCATTTTCTTCCCCTCTAGTGCCTTTAACTATCATATGTATGCTGATTACTCCCAAATCAACACTTCTGCCTTTCACAGCGAGTCTGTCTTGAAGTGTAGACCATGTCCAATTAATTTTTGTGCCCAGCACAAAATACCTGGACATAATAGATGCTCAGTAAACACTGCTGTCATGCTTTATGGAACCAGATTAGAAATTGAAACTCTTTGTGTGATTAGTAAAGGTCCTGCCTAAAGATTTAGTAGTTAAAGATGAACATAATTTAGTGCATTTGAACATTGTTTCATATAAAAGACTGGGATTAAAAAGAATGTAAAGTCATTTGCCATATTAACAGACTTTTAAATTTGAGCCATTTTGGCATCTTTTTAGGTTGTTGATAAACTGGGGCATTTTAACATTTCTGGTACCTACTGTTGTTCTTTAACTAAAAAGGTGATGTTAATGGTGGGTATTTCCCATTTGTATGAGTACAGATGTGTGAACAGCTTCTTTTCTATTGATCTGTTCAGGGAATTCTTTGTAAGACCTGCTAATACTTTTTGGGAAAAATATCAGAAATCAGATTTCTTCCAAAATGAACTGTGCTACTGTTAGCAGATCCTGTGTGGAATAAATCATGACTTTCAAGTATCATGTGGTTGCAAGTTTAATACTTAGTTCTTGAAGTTAGCAGAGGACATAATTGCTTTGTTAGATTATTCTCTTGTGTTCTGAAGAACAATGGCCAGGACAAAATATGCCATTGGTTGGTGGAAGGGCAGGAGATAGCTGATCAGCCATGTGCTTCCGAGGCCACAAAGAAGCCTTACAGGTCATGGCTCCTACTGTCTGTCAGACTGCCCTCCTGGTGAAGATGGTATTTGTCAGGGGGATGCGCTCATTATGAAACACTATTGGACATTGATTTGAAAACAATAATTTATTTTGTTTCTATAGGTACTTAGAAAGATTGTACAATGAATGGTGATACTCGGGCTGCAGTGGTGACCTCACCACCCCCGACCACAGCGCCTCATAAGGAGAGGTACTTCGACAGGGTGGATGAGAACAATCCAGAATACCTGCGGGAGAGGAACATGGCACCAGACCTTCGTCAGGACTTCAATATGATGGAGCAGAAGAAGAGGGTATCCATGATTCTGCAAAGTCCTGTAAGAAGAGATGCTTTTTTTCTGACCAAATGTCATCATCTCTCTTCTGATACTTGAGGTCTTATGCCCTGTTGTATGAGTGGCATGGTCACTTTATCTTAACACAGAAAATCGATGCCTTGTATATATGTATATGGTTGTTGAAAGAATTCAGTTTAGTTCATATTATCAGACATCAGACACAATACATGGAAAATCTGCAATGTCATAAAAGATAGGAGGTGTTTATTTTTCCTTTTTAGACTTACTACTTCTCCAGAGGGTCTTTATATATTGGAACAATTTAAAAATTACTATTTTCCTCCAAAATACTTAGCTCAGTCCTGGAAATACAGTAAGCCTCACAGGACCTAATTATTGATTGCTACCTTTAGTTACAGCCAGCATTTTGAGCTATGGTCATGTCCACCTGAGTGTCTTTTGAATTGCATCTTTGGGTAGAGTCGTTCTGTCCACGCGGTTTTCTCCTACTGATGCTATTGCCCTTGTATGTTCTTGACTGTTTTTTTTCCCCCCTTCTAATCTGTTCTTGCTTTTCTCCTTTATATTTTTTGGGTGTGTCACTTGGCAGGTATTTATTGATTTTTTTTGAAGTGATGTTGACTGCCTCTTATGTGCTGTTCAAGGAACTGAGGATTTAGCAGTAAACATGATATATAAGGCCCTAACTCTAATAGATTTTATTTTGTTGTTACTATTTTTAAGGTATAGCTTATTATATGCAGTGAAGTACACACGTCTTAAGTGTATAGCTGGATGAATTTTGACGTATATGTGACACCTTGAGAGCTTGTTTGGAGTTTCTAGCAGGGGAGAGTAGCTACTCGTATACCCTTGACTGAAGACCAGACCTCCTCTAGAGGGAAAGGCTGTCCTCTTCGACCGAGTGCACAGCTTTGGGAGGGACACACATGGAGCAGTGAGGGAGGAAGGGGACACCCACCTAGCCAACCAGATCAGCTGAATCAACCCTGACAATCAATGGGGTGACAGATGTCGCAGCCAGATCGCCCTCACATCCTAAATTTTGACATATATATGACACCTCTGTAACCACCCAGATCAAGTCTCATTACATTCAAGTTGAAGGAGATAAACAATGAGCAACCAACAGAAGTGTGATGCAGAAAGCAGCAGGATGATTGAGTGTAACGGTGGTCAGAAAAGGCCTCTCTGAGGGGGGAGGATTTAATCTGAACTCTGAATGACAAGAAGAAGCCAGCCATGCAGGGATCAAGAAGAAACCATTCCAGGTGTAGGGACCAGCTAATCTGAAATTCCAAGGGTAGGGATGAGCTTGATGGGCCTGAAGAGTCAAAAAGCAGCCAGTGTGGTCGAGCCTCGGAGGTGGCAGAGAGAGAGGTACAGGGAGGTTGGAGAGGGAGGAGGGAGTAAATCCCGAAGGCTGCGTAAGCTGAGATCAGGAGTTTGTATTGCATTCTGCGAGTAATAGAATCATTGCAAACAGGGGAGGGACATGATAGAGTTTTAAGGAAATCATTCTGGTTTGATATAGAGAGAGCATTGGCTGGGCCAAGAGGGAAAACTGTCTTCCAAACACGAGATAGTGGCAGCTTGGCCAGGGTGGTGGGAGTTGAGAGGGGAGAGGTGCTCCCTTGATTCTCATTTTGTAGGTCACATGAATAGGACTTGCTGATGCATGGGATGGAGGAAATGAGAAAAAAAAAAAAGAATCAGGCTGACATCCAGACTTTTGGCTTGAGCAGTTTTCCTACATAAAAGCAACAAGAAACTAAGTAAAAATGACTAGGGATAGAGTTAAGAAACTAAACTTACAGCACCTAGTGTGTGCCAGGCACTGTGCTGGGTGGGCACTGAGGATGCAAAGAGAGTGAGTAAAGCCTCTACCTACATGTTGTTTAGAACACAATAAGCAAATGAGCACCCAAATGTTACTGGTCTAAGTGCAGCATGGGATCCTAGAACAGAGAAAGGACATTAGACTGGCACAATCCAAGTAATGTCTGGGATTTTGTTAATAGGAATGTACCAGTTGACAAATATACCATGGTAATGTAAGGTGTTAACAGTGAAGGAAACTGGGAAGTCTCTGTTCAAATGCAGCTTTTCTGTACATCTAAAATTATTCCAGAATAAAAAGTTTATTTGAAAAAAGTTGCTGGTGCTGCAAAGGAAGTATGTACCAACATCACGTGGGTCAGTTCAGGGCCTAGAGTGGTTCCATAGCAACGTCATGGAGCAGGTGACGCTTAGGTAATCATTACAGAAGTTAGGGAGGACTGTTATTTACCTGGTTTTCAGATGGGGAGACAGTGCTCAGAGTAAGTACTTACTCAGCTCTTAAATGTCAAGTCCACTATTTCCATTACCATCCTTAAATTGGAAATTAAAATTTTGCCTTAAAGACAGTTCTGTTTTGAGAACTAAAAATTAGCCAGGCGTGGTTGTGTGTGTCTGTAGTCCCAGCTACTTACGGAGGCTGAGCAGGAGGATCACTTGAGCCCAGGGGTTCAGGGATATGAACTAATGAGCACGTTATTGTGCTCCAGCCTAGGTGACAGAGTGAGACCCTGTCTCTTTAAAAACAAATTCATACATACATACATATATACAAAAATATTTTATGTTTACCAGAATCTAGTTTTGAACATCACTTTTAACAGCATAAAATTGGCAGCAGAATGGGGTATACCAAAAACGTGTTTTGTTTGCCTTTATAATCCTTCTGTTTCCTCCCTATACTTCACTGCTAGTAATACCAAAGTACTTTTAGCTCACTGCCTGCCTGTGGTTTGTAACATCTCCCCTCACAGTGCCCTTCCTTTGCCTCTGTCTCACTAATCCTCAGTCCTGTCCCCATCCCTGGGTACGTTCTTGTTCATCCCTCAGAGCCCTTTGACATATCCTTGAAGTCATCCCTGAATGGAAGTAATCCTTCCTTCTGTGCACTGTGTATATCACTTGTACGTAATGGGACGATTGCAGGACTTGCTCTATACCAAACATTTGCTAAGTGATTTATTGACCTTCTTTATTTTATTTCTCTTTATACATAGGTGGTGTGACACTATTTTATAGATAAAGAAAGTGGGGCTCAGAGAGGTGAACTAACTTTTATCCATTTACTTATCAAATAGTTAAGTTCCTTATACATATCAAGCCCTATCCTAAACACTAGGGATAAAGCATTAAACAAGGCAGAGAAACATTTTTAAAGCACAGTGTTGGATTTTCTGCCATCTGATTTTGTTGCTAGATCAGGAGAAAGACAGATGGCATAGTTTTAGTGCCTAGAGCCAGATTGCTTGGGTTTCAGTCTTGGCTCCATCATTTAATAGCTTCGTGACTTTGGTCAAGTTTCCAAACTTCTCCATACCTCAGTTTCTCCATCTAAAACATAGAGATGGTAATAGTACTGCTTACCTCTTAGGGTTGCTATGAAGATCAAGTGAATGAATATATGTAAAGGTCTTTGCATAACATCTGGGCTGGGCACAGCTGCTTACACCTATAGTCCCAGCACATTGGGAGACCAAGGTAGGAGGATTGCTTGAGGCCAGGAGTTTGAGGTTAGTGAGCCACGATCATGGCACTGCACTCCAGCCTCAGTGACAGATAGAGACTGTCTTTACAAACAATAAAAAAGAAAGAAAGAAAAAAGAATAGCATCTGGAGCATAGTGAGTACAATGCAGTGTTAACTTTAATTATTTTTGCTTTAGGTTAATGGTGGAGTGGAGAAAGAGAGGGTTCTTAAAGAAGACTGCAAGGTTTTAGGCCTGAGCTATTGGAAACAAGTTAGCATTTACTGAGGAGATGTGGAAGACTAGGGGAGGAGCAGCTGTGGTGGAGGGAAACTCAGGAGTTCCAGTTTTAGCAATCTCCAACAGAAGTTGGATTTCTTTGTTTGGAATTTAGGGAGAGATCTATCTAGGCAAAGATCTCAACTTGGGAATCCTCAGTACATCAGTGTGTGTAGATGAGCTCACCAAGGGAGTGAGTATTGGTATAGAAGAGGACTGTACTCTTGGACAATGAGATTTATATTTTGAGAGAGGAGGAAGAACTAGCGAAAGCCTGAGAAGGAGCAGATAATGACGTCAGAAGAAAATCAGGAGAAGCCAAGTAAAGAAAGTCATTCCACGGGAGGAAGAGGCCAGCTGTGTCAAGTGGTACCGACAGGCCAGGAAAGTGAAGACTAGTTGTTGGATTTAACAGTGTGTGGGTCTTTGGTGATCTTGAGAAACATGGCAGATGGGAGTAAAAGGCAGATTCAGTGGATTCAAAAGAAAATATGAGAAGAGGAATCAGAGACAGCAAAGATAGGCTGTTCTTTTGAGGCCTTTTGCTTATGTCTGTGCAAAGAGGCAGTAGTTGGAGGGGGATGTAAGATTGAAAAGATAATTTTTCCTGTAAGATGGATGAAATGATAGCGTATTTGCATGCTGACGGGAATATCCAATAGAGAGAGAAAATTTGATGACCCAGGAGATGGTGCCAGGTCCCTGAGTAGACAAAGGGGTGGGGATGGGGTAGGATCCAGCACACAGGTGGAGGGGTTGATTTTGGGGATGAGAAGGCAGACTCTGTGGGCTCAGATGCCAATAGTTGGGTAGATTTGAGAGGGAACTTGGGAAAGTTCTGTCTCTCTCTTTCTCTCTTTTTTTTTTTTTTAGGCAATTTGTTAGAAACACTTACACAGAATTATTTCCTGATCTCAAGGTGGCTTCCCTTCTCCACCTGGAACACTCCATACCTTTCAGCAACTCCCTGCTCTCCCAGGAGCCCATGCAAGCGAGGGGCCCTGAAGCTTAAGATCCATTAGTTTCATGTAAACCTGCCACTGATCATCTGGTCTGAGCGACCTTCCAGGCTAGCTAGCATGTCATCTATCTCTGTGTCCCTTGCATCCACCTCAGGACCTAGCACTGGGCAGTTGCTTGGAATGTGTTGCGGATTGAAAGGTTCAAGTCCTGAACGCCCCTCAATTTGATCTAAGGACACGGGCAGTTTCAAGAATGGTGTGACAAGGCTGAATGAAAGAAAACAAGGTGATTTGACTGGGAGTGGATTCCTCTCCTCTGCTGGTGAGGGCACAACCTTTGACTTCGACATAGCCTGACGTAAAGCCCTGCTCAGGGCCACGTTCCAATGGCTGCCTTCTCCCCTACTGGCCATCCTACTCTGGGGAGAGCAGAGAGGGCCCTGTGAAACTTGATTAGCTCATGTTCTCATTTTGGGGGCCCAATAGAAGGTAGAGTGTAGAAGACCCTCAAACTTGCGAAAGTTTTTTTCTGACAGGTTCTCTATTCACAGTGAAATGGCAAGGGGAGCCATCCATTGAGAATGAGCACAGGGAATAGTATAGAAGGTTGGAGGAGAGAGAAGGTGTGAAGAGTAGGAGAGGAAACGGGCAAGGAAAGTCTAGTATGGTCTCTGGGTTCAGGTGAAGGGTACACTTGAGGTCTGTGGTCATGAAGTTACAGTGAGGCAGGCAGCGCAGTATGCCTATGTGGGCTGGTCTTCATTTTTCCCTTCCAGCCACTTGGTATGGCATGAGTAGAAGGGAGGAAGAGTTGAATTTAACCAGGGTTTTGCCAGGTGAAGTGGTAGAGTTAAAGGTGTAAGCAAGGAAATGGTTACAGTGTTATCATTGCAGTGGATGTCAGCCAGGTGAGAGAGGTCAGGACAGAGCAGGTAAGGGGGGTGGTCAGAAGGGTTTTTAAAGGGTCACAAATAGACGGCAAATAAAGTGAACTGGACGCCAGGTTGGGGTGGTTGGAGAGCACATACTTGGCTGTGAGATTGAAGAGGGGCACAGTTACTAGGAATGAACAGGTCTAGGGCTTGACCATAGAAATGGGAGACTGAGGTAAGTTGTATGGACAGCAGAGTCATCAGAGGAGAGGAAGTTTGGAAGCTAAGAGGTGAGGATGTGGATGTTGAACCATCAGGAGTTATGATCAAAGTGGCACACATGGTTGTTAGGCTGGTGGCTAGAGCCAGATGCTGGTATCCAGATGGGTGGCCCTAGGCTCTCACTCATCACTGCTGAGCTCAGCTCTGTGCTGTGTGCATCCTTACTGCATATAGATGTCATCTGGAATGCTGTTAATGCATAAGGCTTCTGTCATGTGGTTTCTTTTAGTGATTTCCTTGCTAAGCTTTAAGTTCCAACTTATCATTTGCACATTCTTAGTGCCTAAAACAGTCCCTGGTTCTTAGTAGTGTATGTTGTGTTAGGCTTTCCATAAATATGTATGTGGATTTGAAAACCATTGAAATAGATTGCTTGAATTTTCAGACTGAGAGCGGGTGAGAGCAGAAAGCTTGTTTAATTCAGCTTTTGCATCCCCTGTGACCAACATTGTGATGTTTAGTAGACACCGTCTGTCTCTTTATCTATATCTATCTTTATCTGTGCATATATATCTATATAATACAGCTGGGTGTGGTGGTGCACACCTGTAGTCCCAGATACTCAGGAGACTGAGATGGGAGGATCACTTGAGCCCAGGAGTTTGAAGTTGCAGCGAGATATGACTGGGCCACTGCATTCCAGCCTGGGTGACATAGCAAGACCCTGCCTCAAAAAAATAAAATAGAAAAACAAAAAAGTGTGTATATCAGTGCATTGTGCATTGATAACAAAGATGGTTAAATAATCATGTTTTAGTAATTTTTTTTATTTCTGGCTTACAGTCAGAGCATCTCCCAGCTTTTCTTTTCCTCATAGACTACCACAGAATATGATCTGTGACATTATTTATCATGATGTGGTAGACACAGGCTCCCATAGGGCTCTTGACTGACATTCTTTTCTACAATTGAGTTAACAACAATACATTTATTGTATACCTCTCCCAAGTGATAGGTATACTTAGACTGTCTCTTGGCAATATCCTGCAATATCTTTTCAACTCAAGCAATGGAAAACTAGGAATAAGTTTAATATGGAATCATCCAGGGTCCGTGGAGCACATATAATCAGACATGGATCATCATCCAGTGAACCCATATTTTCATATTAGAGATCACTCATAACTATTTGACAAGGAGATATATATTTCTTTATTGGATATGTGAAAAAATTATTTTAGGACAGTTTGGGGAAACTATAAATTATCTTTATTGTTGCAGTAGTGACTTTATATTAAAATTTCCATCAGTCCAATTGAACTTCTTTTACCTAATTTAGGATTATTTGATAAAAGGTGGATGTTTTAGGATTCCTTTTTTCACTTTTAAAAAGTAATTTGAAAAATATTTTGAAGAAAATACTGAAAAGCACAAATTAGAATATGAAAGTTATTAATATTTCTGTCAGAGAATTATAGTTAATATCTTGATGTATTTACTTTTAATCTTTTTCTGTTCTTAGATAAGTATTTACTCTTACAAAAAACTGTTTATATTACTTTATAAAATTTTTTACTCAAGAATATATCAAGAGCAGTTTTATGCCATTTAATTTTTAGGGGTTTTCATGTTGAATGTATGCATAAAATACCCAGTGTATTTAATCGATCCTCTGTTGTGTGAAATGTAGGATGTTTTTTCCTTTTATCAGTAATTCTGGAATGAACATCCTAATAAATAAATCTTTTAGCACATTCTGGTTATTTCCTTAAAATAAATATATCTGGTTATTAATATAAAATAATTTATTAATATAAAATAATATATCTGGTTATTTCCTTAAAATAAATATATCTGGTTATTAATATAAAATAATTTATTAATATAAAATAATATATCTGGTTATTTCCTTAAAATAAATTCCTGGGAATAGAATTCCTCTTAACATTTTTAAGTGTTTATATTGTTAAATTACTTTCCAGAAAAGAATGTATGAGTTTATACTCCCAACAGTAATATATGAGGATGTCCACTCGCCTGTTCAACACTGGATGAAAACAAAAAAATTGGTCTTTGCAATAGCTTTTTCTATCTCCCAACACCCCAAGGAATAGAAAAGAAATGGTTTCTCACTGTTTTGATATGGCTTTTATTAGGCTTTCTGTGAAGAACTGGAATCAATGATACAGGAACAATTTAAGAAGGGGAAGAATCCCACAGGCCTATTGGCATTACAGCAGATTGCAGATTTTATGACCACGAATGTACCGAATGTCTACCCAGCAGCTCCACAAGGAGGGATGGCTGCCTTAAACATGAGTGAGTAGTTCTAGACTTTTTATATATGCTCTGCAATTTCCCACATAAAATTTCTTGAACATCGCTCATGTGAAATAGATGGGCATGCAACTGTCTAATACATAGAGTTGAGTATTTTGAAGGTTAATGTGTTTTAGTTAGAGTAAAAGGTAGGTTGTCAATCTAAAAATGTCTTGAATGTAGAGGGCTCCTTTTTCATAAGTCAGTGAAACTGTTATTTCCAAGGCAGATGACTTTTTATGTGACTTCTCAGACCTTTTGTGAATTAAAATAAACTAATCAGAAATAATGCTTGGGAGTAGCATGTCAATTTTGCCTGAATTCATTTCAGCCAGGCCAATGTTTCATACCCACCAGCCTTTTTTACTTACCATCCTCACTGCTGCTTGAAAACCAGTGAGAAACAGAAACATTCTGAAAGAAAAGCCAGAGGAAAAATGTTGACTGGGTGAATGTGAGCAAAGAACACTTAGCTGTACAAGGGTGGAGGTTTGCACTGGCTGTTGAATTTGTGTTAACATGACAAGGTGAAGCCCAGGGTGACTTGAGCATCCTCTAATCTGACCTCTTGTGTTGTGTCCTGGATCAGTCTCTGATGGGTCTGGTTGGATAGTCAGAGTTGGTTTCCATTAGATCACCTGACATTTGCTATTTTCCTCTCTCTTCCTTAGACATTGACTGACATTCACCAGATGTGATATATAATTAATGTCTACAGAATATTAAGAATCACATTTAATTTACTAACTAAAACCTCCATCCTGAAATCAAATGGCTGCCAATAAGGTTTTCATGTGGATTCTTAATGGATTTCAGTGACATTTGATAGGAGTTAGATAATAAAAGAGTGCATTTCACTTGTATATTGTCTTCTAATCAGAGATAAGGAAATTTTATTTCAGTAATGCCACACACAAAAAAAGGAAGAAAGAAGAGATGGAAGGAAAAAAATCTAATTAGTCTTAGTTACGCTAATAGTTTATTTCCTAAAAGTAAGAATTTAAAAATGAATTTTTAACCTTTTTTGTAAAATATAACTTACATACAGAAAACAGCATAGAGCAAATGATGTATAGGTTATGAATGATTTTACAATGAATACAATTATAATCACTACCCACGTCAAGAAATAAAGGTTTACCTGTCTTTACAAAATATAGAAAAATTAGCTGGGCATGGCGGTGTGTGCCTGTAGTCCCTACTGAGGAGTCTGAGGCAGGAGCATCGCTTGGGCCCAGAAGTTTGAGGTTGCAGTGAGCTCTGATGCTGCTGCTGCACTCTAGAGCCAGGGCGACAGAGTGAGACCCTGTCTTAAATAAATAAATGAATGAATGAATGTATGTTTATCAGTCCCTTATCCTATCCCCCTCCCCATTGCCATACCTCTTAGAAGCAACTATTGTGTTTTTTTTTTTTTTTTTTTGGAGACAGGGTCTTGCTCTGTGGTCCTGGGTAGAGTGCAGGGGCATCATTGTAGCTCACTGCACCCTCAAACTCCTGGGCTCAAATGATCTTCCCGCCTTGGCGTCCCAAGTAGGTGGGACTACAGGCGTGTACCATGACACCCAGCTAATTTTTCCATTTTTAGTAGAGATGGGCTTTCACTCTTGCTCAGGCTGAGAACCACCGTCTTGACTTGTATAGTATTCATGCCCTGCTTTTCTTTATAGTTTTATTACCAAAATAATAATCCCTAAATATTATGGCTTAGTTTTTATCTATTTTTACTTAACATCTCTTAAACCTTTTCTAAGTCCAGAAGTTACCACCCATTGTTCTTTTTTCACCTTACATTTTAAATTTGAAGAAAATGGGTTTGTTGACTTGCAGAGTTTCCTACAGTCTGGATTTTGCTGATTCCATTTGCATGGTGCTGCTAGCATGTTCTTTTGTCTTCTGTATTTACAGTAAATTGGCACTGGGATCTAGAGGCTTGACCGTCCTTTGGTTCAGTTTTTTGGCAAGACTACTTCATAGGCAATACTGTGTTCTGTCAGGAGGCACATAAGCTGGTTGTTTCTTTTTGTGGTGTTAGCAGCCACTGATGCTCAATGCCTAGATCTAGTAACTTAATAAGGATTCGAAGATGATGATATTTTAATTCTATCATTCCTTCTGTATTTATTAGCTAAAATATTTCCATAAGGGAAAACTTCCCCTCAACTCTTTTGGTTACCCACTAGTGGTACAGGAAAGTCAGGATCCTTTTTCAAAATAATAAATTGGTTTCCAGTAATTCAGAGGTGACCAATTAGTTTGTATTTTTTAGTATCATTTGATTTCATAGATTTAAATAATGTGTTTCAAATCATTGCAGTTACTATCCTTTATGATGCTCAAATTGTTCCATTTTTGACAAATGAGAGCCTCTTGAGGTTGACTCCTGAGCCCTTGTAGTTTTTGTAGCCTCCTTGCTAACTCCCACGGAGAAATGTTCTAGACTCATTTTGTTCATTTCCTCCTCCAGATCTGGAATCAGCCATTTCTCTAAGAAACCTTGACTTCTTTTTGTGGGAAATGGAATTTTAGTTTGGGTACTAGGAATGCTCATTGCTGCTGGGTTGGTCATTCTTTCTAGGCCTTTTTTTGTGGATGGAATTAGGAAATATATATTACCTCATGAATTTATATTGATACTTCCAATTAAAATTTTGTACTAAGGGTTTTTTACTAAACCACATCTGTCTAATGTTTGTTCTCCTTCCTTTCACACCAAATTCTGGTTCTCAAGGACACTCGGAATGACAAAACCATAATACTACATAGTTACTCATTTGTTTTTTCCCAAATTACTACACACAATACTAATAATTTACCAATACTATATTATTTCCCCATTCTCTCCTCATGTTTTAAAATGGTTGTGTTCTGGCCGGGCGCGGTGGCTCACGCCTGTAATCCTAGCTCTCTGGGAGGCCGAGGCGGGTGGATTGTTTGAGCTCAGGAGTTCGAAACGAGCCTGAGCAAGAGCGAGACCCCGTCTCTACTAAAATTAGAAAGAAATTAATTGGACAACTAAAAATATATAGAAAAAATTAGCCGGGCATGGTGGTGCATGCCTGTAGTCCCAGCTACTCGGGAGGCTGAGGCAGGAGGATCGCTTGAGCCCAGGAGTTTGAGGTTGCTGTGAGCTAGGCTGACGCCACGGCACTCTAACCCGGGCAACACAGTGAGACTCTGTCTCAAAAAAAAAAAAAAAAAATTATTGTGTTGTCATGTCGCCAGAGCACATACTGCCACATGGTATTATTTCTCCCCTTATAACACTCATTTAGTGCTATCATTAGTAGCTTAATTCTTTAATGTATACTTAATGCTTACCATCAGTTCTTATGTCAATGTTTTCCAAGTCATTTTGGTTGTCCGAAGTTTTTTATAGTAGATTTCTCAGAAACACTTGTGGGAATGGTGTTCTCTGAGTTCTTGCACACTGTGGCTTTTATATGTCAGTTAATTTGGTTTGGTTAGTTTGAGTATAAAATCCTTGGCTCATATTTTCCTTTTTTATGTATCTTAAATACATAATTCATTTCTCTCTGGCCCAAAGCATTGCTATTAAAATTGCTATTAAAATTTGAAGACAATCTTCACATATAAGTGACTTGGTCTCTTTTCCTGGATACTCAAAATATTTTTCTTTTTCTTTAGAATCCAGCAATTTTACCAGAATATGGCTTAGTTTTGGTCATTCTAGGTTAATTTCAGATGGTGTGCCCTTCTATGTTTTTAAATTTCAGCAATATTTTCTTGACTTGATTTTTGGTATTTTTTTTCTTTCTTTGCTTTTGTTTTCTTCTTCAGGGATTATGCGCACATTGGATTTTCTTTGCCTGTCTTCTATAGCTGTCACTTTTTCCAAAGTCTCATCTTTATCTCTCTCTTCATTTCTTTATGATTTAAAAAAATTTTCTTCCTTTTCACTTTCTTTTCTCTTACATGTTATCTGTGTTTTTTATCTTCTTATATAACTTCTAGTTTAGTATTTGTAATTTTTTTTAGAGGCAGGGCCTCACTCTGTCAACCCAGGCTGGGGTATAGTGGCCTGATCACAGCTCACTGTAACGTTGAACTCCTGGCCGTAAGCAATCCTCCTGCCTCAGCTTCCCAAAGTGCTGGGAATACAGGCATGCACCACACTCAGCCTCTAATTACTTTTATGTTCTAGTACCTCATTTCTGAATTTTTCTAATTCTATATAATGTTTTTTCATATCTTATTTTGTTAATGCTTTTAAATTGTCATGAAATATGACTAATACACATAGCTTTGTAAACAAAAAAAGAAAAAATTGTGAAATAATAGGTTATAGTTTTCATCTATTTTGTAGATGGGTCTTTTCTGCTTTTGTTATCTGTAGGGATGTTATTCTCATTATTTTCTTATAATAATTTTTGTATGGTATTTGATCATGATATTTTCCTGTTCATTTTTATATGAAGTTAGTTTTCATGAAGGAGGCTGGTTCAGGAAAACTTTTCTAATGTGATTGTTTTAGGGTCCCCTCATCTGTTGTTTTTGCAAAGTGTTAACAAATATGGCAGCTTTTTAAATGAAATCTGGTTCTGTTCTTTTCCTTTGTTCTTATCTGGACTTCTTGTTTCCTTTTCTTGTTAGTCCTGTGCTACTGTTTGGATTCTAATTTCCACAAATTTCTCACTGTGAGACTTTGCCCTGAAGCAAGTTTTGGATGGTTAGTTTGGAGAATTTGTAAGGATTAAAGTGTGCAGAACTCTTCTTGGTTTCAGTTCCTGTTCTCACGTTGACCCTCTGAACTTTCCAGTGAGTTCTTGTTGGTTCTTTGGGGAATCTCAAGTCTGAAATGATCTGTGGCTTTTCTCAGTGTCTTCCTACACAGATGATACCACTCACTCTGCCTTTGTTATCCCTCCCCACTTTTATTTTCAGTTTTGTGGGTCCACCTTGTTAGTTTTGTTGTGGGTATCATCGTTGGGTTTTTGGTTTAGCTAAAGCCACAACTAGACCCTAGTTGCTCTAGTTAATTTTTAAAAATGTTTTGTAAAAAAAAAAGATTAAAGAGATGGAGTCTCGCTGTGTCCCTCAGACTGGAGTGCACTGGTTATTCACAGGCTTATTGTAGCATACCATAACCTTGAACTCCTGGGCTCAAGCAATCTGCCCACCTCAGCCTGCCAAGTGCTGGGACTACAGGCACAAACCACCTCGCCCGACTTCTAGTTATTTTTTTTTGTCAAGGTTGGGAGAGGGATTTAGGAAGATCTAAAAACTGTGCTGTCACTTCCACTGTCTTCTGAAATCTTCTAAAAAACAATTTTTAAAAATTAAAAATCTGGGCCAATCATGGTAGCTCACACCTGTAATCCCAGCACTTTGGGAGGCTGAGGCAGGAGGATCATTTGAAGCCAGGAGTTGGAGACCAGCCTGGTCAACATAGTGAGTCCCTGTCTCTACAAAAAAAAATTGTTTTAAATTAGCTGAGTATGGTAGCACACATCTGTAGTCCTAGCTACTCGTCAGGATTGCCTGAGCCCAGGAGTTCAAGGTTACAGTGAGCTATGATCATGCCACTGCGCTCCAGCTGGGCAGCAGAACGAGACTCTATTTCTAAAATAAATGAATGAATGAATGAATCAAATATAGCAATATATAAAGAGGATAATATGTCATGACCAAGTGGGGTCATGCAGTTAAACACTTTTTCTTCCTTTCCAATGTTTTTTTCCTTGCCTTATTGCATTGGCTAGAACCCTCAGTGCAATTCAGTAAGAGTGCAAGAATTTATATCCTTGCATTGTTCTGTCTTAGGAGGAAAACATTCAGTCTTTCATCATTATGCTTGATGTCAGTGGTAGATTTTTTAAGATACCCTTTATCAAGTTGAGACAGTCTCTTCTATTCCTAATTTGTTGAGAGCTTTCTTCCTGAACTGATGTTGAATTTTGTGAAATTCTTCTTCTCTGTCTATTAAAATGATCACTTTTTTTTTCTTTAGTTTGATATGATGAATTATGTTGATTGGCTTTTGAGTGCTGAACTAACCTTTCATTCTTGAGTTAAATCCTATTGTCATGATGTATTATTTTTTTAATATATATATTGCTGGATTATTTGCTAAAATTTAATTTTTAGTCTATATCCATGAGAGATATCAGTCTGTTTTTTCTTGTAATGTCTTGTACTGTAATATCTTTGTGTGGTTTTGGTATCAAGGTAATCCTGGGCCTCATAGAATGAGGCCTGACAGAAAGTGTCCTGACAGAGTATACGGAATTTTCTGGAAGAGTTTATATAAAATTGGTATCATTTCTTCCTTAAATATGTGACAGAACTTAACAGTTAAGTCATCTGGGCCTAGGGTTTTCTTTGTGGGAATGTTTTTAACTGTAAGTTTAGCTTAATAGAAATAGGGTGATTCGGGATATCTATTTCTTCTGGAGTGAACTTCAGTAGCTTGTTATCTTTCAAAGAATTTGTTTCATCTAAGTTAAAAAAATTGCCTGGCATAGTTGTTCATATTATCCCTTTATTATTCTTATAATGTCTGCAGGATATGTAGTGATATCCTCTCTCCACTTCTTCAGATGGGTTATTTGTGTCTACTCTCTTTTGTTGATAAGTCTCTGGATAAAGGCTTATTTTATTATTTTTATTTATTTTTAATCTTCTCAGAGAACCAGCTTTTGTTTTAATCAAAAAACCTTTAAGAAACCTTTTCTCCTTTCCTAATATATATGTTTATTACTGTAAATTTCCTTTTAAGCATGCTTTACTGCATCCCACAAATTTGTCTACATTTTTGTTATTGATTTCTAAGTTAATTAACGTTGGAGAACATGGTCTTCATGAAATCATCTTTGAAGTTTTCAAGAATGTATGGCCTAATGTGGAAGATGAATATCTCAGAACCATTATTATTTGATTTACATTTGATGAGAAATATTAATATTTGAGGCTTTTTTTTTTTTTGGAGATAGGGTCTTGTTCTGTTGCCCAGGCTGGAGTGCAGTGGAGCGATCATAGCTCACTGTAACCTTGAACTCCTGGGCTGAAGCAATCCTCCAACCTCAGCCTCCTGGGTAGCTGGGACTATAGGCACACGCCACTGTTCCCAGCTGAGTTTTGTTTTTCTTTATTTCAGGTCTTGGTATGGTGACTCCTGTGAACGACCTTAGAGGATCTGATTCGATTGCATATGACAAAGGGGAGAAGTTATTGCGATGTAAATTGGCAGCATTTTACAGACTAGCAGATCTCTTTGGGTGGTCTCAGCTTATCTACAATCATATCACAGTGAGTATTAAATGAGGTGGTAACTGGATGATACGAAACATTTTGAAACATTTTGTGTCCGGCACCACCTCTTTCCATTTAGCAGGCTGTGCTTCCGTAAACCTTGGAAAACCTCTTCTGATTTCTGTCTACAGAGTATAATAATCTGAGAATTAGCCAGTTTGGGTTAGAAGTTATGAGAATAGTAGTTCTTTAAAACTTCTTTTTTGCATGCTAATGTAATAAATGAGTGTTTATCAAATTATAAGCAGTTTCTAAAATTCTTTTTAGGTTTAAAAACCTAAGAATGAAGATGTTTTCTTTCCAACTCTGACCACTTGTTTCTTTAGCTGCTCCGGTTTTAACCATTTTTCAACATGATCAGGACCTCTCTTTTCTTCAGTTCATTCTGATAACACATATTGCTGGGTCTCTACCTTTTCTGTATCAAGCACTGTTCTGACTCTGGGGTTGTATCAGTGAATGACATGAGTCCTGCCCTTGCAGGATGGTCCCTTCTTCATCTCAGTCCGTCAGCCCATTATTCACACCTGGTTTTGCCCAGCTTGTATTTCATGGTCTGTTGTTTCAGTAACACCCTGTGCTGATCCTGCACTAGCCTTCCCTGCTTCTGAGCAGCCAGAAAGCCTCACCACAGAGCCCTTGGCTTTCTCCATAGACTTACAACCCCAGTCTCAGATGGGCCCACAGCATTAAGTGATCATCTCTCTTACAAGCTCACTAATATTTAAGCCTCTCTACTGTGTTCGAAACTCCTGCTCTCCTCCCCGCAAATGACCTCATCACATCACAGAAAAAATGGGAACCCTTACACCTGTAGCCATTTTGTATTCTTGGCCACCGATTATAATTTCCTGCCTCCTACCTATGGCTGAACTTGGCTCTCCTGGCTTGGAATTCCATCCCTTCCTGCCTTCTTAGGAAACCTAATGCATCGCAGGTTTCTTTTTTTTATTCACTCTTTTGTAGAGATAGTGTTGTGGTTCGAAGTGCGAGAAAAGACCACTTAAGACCGAAACTGAGCCAAATTATGAGTCTTTATTAGCTGGCCAGCGACTACCCTCTGCACCGCCACAGACGGCTGCACAGAGAGCAGTCCTGAGCCAAAAAAGCAGGGGGTTTTTATACTATTCTAAGTTAGGGCTACGTGACATTAGGCACATGAGGTGGAACAAGATTAATTATATCATACATTCCATAGCTGTGGGGTCTGGGACCAGCCTCAGACCTCCTGTGCTTGCTATAGTCTTTAAGCAAGCAGATTTACAGAAGCAGATAGCATCAGTTAAGTCAAGGAACATTCTTTCATGAGTTAAGCAAGCATAGTAAAATTTACTACAGGCAGCTGGAAAGCTTAAACCATCGGTTACAAGTTAATTACTTTGTTGTTCTTTTTTCCGTCTTTCCAAGGTATATTTTTCATTACAGACATAGGTCAAGCAGGTCACAGGTCAACCAAGCAAGCAGGCATAAATTGCCGAGTGGGCCGTTACAATAGCTTCTTTCTTTGAACTGCTTCCTTCTTTGATTTTAAAACTTGTTCCAATCTTCTGTTTTTTTCATTTAATTTCTCTTCATGGATATTTTAAATTATTAATATCTTGCCTACTTATTAGATCAAGTGTACCTTATGCTGATATCTAAAGAGAAAGTTATTATCTTACCAATACTCCTATCTCTGGGTTGAGGCATCCGGTATTAACAGTGTTTAGATTGTTGAAACCTTTCTCCATACTCACACATTTAAGTTTTTCCATACGTGGGTTCATAACAAGCAGTGCTTAATTAAGCTGTATTCTGAACTTAAAGGAATGCTAGAGCTTCTGAGGTGATGGTTGGAGACCACCCTGTGATCAGTGTCTTGTACTTCTGGGCATTGGATATCTCTGTCAGACATACTGAGTTGCCTTTCCTCTATTCATTCTCTGTGTTTCCACATCAGAGCACTTTTCAACATGTGAGCCTGACTGTGTCATGCTTGTGCATGCTGCCCACTGTCATGCTGTGTAGAATGTTACCCCTGCTTTGTCCCCTTTAGCAGTTAGGGTCATCCATTCCGAACCTTGACTCCATCTCTGCCCACAGGAATATAAGCTCCATGAGGAGAGTCTCTGTTGTGGTCCCTGCTGGGGCCCCAGGACCAGGAACTGTGCCTGGGATATAGTAGGCATGTAATAAACTCATGTCGGATAAATGGCTAATAAAGTCACCAGCTGAGCTGAAATTACCTCAGGAAAATTGTGAACAAGAACTTGCTGGGGCCTTTTGATATTTTTGTTTTATTTTTTTGAAATAGGGTCTCACTCTCTCACCCAGGCTGGAGTGGGGCAATCTTAGCTCACTCAGCCTCTAATTCCTGGGCTCAAGTGATCCTCCTGCCTCAGCCTCCCAAGTAGCTGGGACTACAGGCACGTAACACGCTACCCAGCATTTAAAAAATTTTTTTTTGTAAACACAAGATCTTGCTATGTTGCCCAGGCTGGTCTTGAACTCCTGGCCTCAAGTGATCCTGTGCCTTTGGCCTCCCAAAGTGCTGGGATTACAGGCGTGAGCCACTGCTCCTGGCCTCCTTTTGAAATTTGATTTGTGGGTCCAGTTAGTCTAGCACAAGTGCCAGCACCGTTCCTGGTGTCTGCAGGAAAATTGCTGGCTTCTTGGCTAATTATACTTGACAGAAAGCTCTAGTGGAGATTTAGTGTTAAATGATTGCCTAAAAATTAGTTCCATGAAAATGTTACAGCTATAATAGGAAATGAAATCCCTGGCTTTAATAACAGCTTCACATTCTTTGTAGGTTTTAAAATGCTATTTACTACTAGTCCTATTATGAATGCTATTTAAATAAGTTTGAATTGCTTGTTTTTCATCCTTTAATTGTTTAGGAATTGACAGAATTAAAAATAGTTTACTCTTCTGTAAGTGATCTGCTTAATATTGAGTAAAAAGAAATGCAAGTTACTAAGCATATTTTTTGTATTTTATAAACTGGAACTAGAGAATCTTTGACGAAGGAAGGTTTTGTTTTATTTTGTTTTATTTGCTTTTTTTGTTTTTTTGTTTTTTTTTTTTTGAGACAGAGTCTCACTCTCTTGCCCTGGCTAGAGTGAGTGCTGTGGCGTCAGCTCAGCTCAGCTCACAGCAACCTCAAACTCCTGGGCTCAAGTGATCCTACTGCCTCAGCCTCCCGAGTAGCTGGGACTACAGGCATGTGCCACCATGCCCGGCTAATTTTTTCTATATATTTTTAGTTATCCAGATAATTTCTTTCTATTTTTTTTTTTTTATTAGAGATGGGGTCTTGCTCTTGCTCAGGCTGATCTCGAATTCCTGAGCTCAAACAATCTGCCTGCCTCGGCCTCCCAGAGTGCTAGGATTACGGGCTAGGATTACAGGCGTGAGCCACCATGCCCGGCCCTGTTTGCTTATTTTTTAACTATTATGGCATCCATTTTTTTGTTTACAATTTAGGTGTTATCTGTAGACATTTAACAGAAAAGTAAATATTAACAGTATTAGTGCAACAAAAAAGTGCTAACAGGTCATTCTGCCCTTTCTTTGAAGGAGGGTCATAGGGATTTTCTGCTGAAGGGATTTAAAAGTGCTACCCAGGTGTTAAGAGTATTGGAGATGATTGTCTGAATTAGATCTTTAAGATTGCATTGGATTTAGAGAAGGCTTTGTGGGAAGGAGGCACAAGACTGGGTGGCCCAGTTAGCACCAAGGGCGGGGCTTCCTCTCCTGGTCCTGCATAGCTGATGGCTGGGCCTTTCCATCCTGATATCAGCAGACCACTGTCAACACTTAACACCTGCAGAACCTGACAGGTGCTTGGTTCCACTCCATTTTGGACTCTAAGGAATGCTAGTCCTCTGAGGTGGTGTCTGGAGCCTATCCTTGTGACCAGTGTGCTGTTTCAGGGACTTGACATTGATATCTGCTAGAGGTACTGAGTTGGGATGTGTTTGGTTTTCAGTGAGTGATCTGAAGATCTGCAAGAGGAGAGTCTCATTCCTCGTACACAGAGAAGGGACAGTAGTAGTGTGGGAAGAGACACAGTGAGAACAGTATTAGTACGCTGGAGAGGCAGGCACCACTGCTGAGGAAACGTACTTTGAAATGTCCTTCTCTAACTTGATATCCATATTTTTGAACTTTCTCCTTTTTGCTTCAGACTCAGAATTTAATATTTTAAGCTTTTTAAAATTAAAATATGTAGATCTGTTTGAAGTTCACAGTTGAAATGTATCTTAAGAAAATAAGTCAAAGAAGAAAATGTTATGTACAAATATATTAATTACAGCATTATTTATAATAATGAAATATTTTAAGAGTCTAAATATCTAGTAGTAAGTTGGAAATGGCTCACTTATTCAACATTAATTTGAGGTAATGTTGTGTACTATGAAAAATAATTATGAAGACCATGTAAAGCATGAAAACTGGGGGAAGGGGCAAAAATATGAAAACTAAAATGTCAATTAAAAATAACTAAAATACGAATGAAAATATTAATAAAAAACTAAATAAAAATACTAAATATCTTGCCTACTTATTAGATCAAGTGTACCTTATGCTGATATCTAAAGAGAAAGTTATTATCTTACCAATACTCCTATCTCTGGGTTGAGGCATCCGGTATTAACAGTGTTTAGATTGTTGAAACCTTTCTCCATACTCACACATTTAAGTTTTTCCATACGTGGGTTCATAACAAGCAGTGCTTAATTAAGCTGTATTCTGAACTTAAAGGAATGCTAGAGCTTCTGAGGTGATGGTTGGAGACCACCCTGTGATCAGTGTCTTGTACTTCTGGGCATTGGATATCTCTGTCAGACATACTGAGTTGCCTTTCCTCTATTCATTCTCTGTGTTTCCACATCAGAGCACTTTTCAACATGTGAGCCTGACTGTGTCATGCTTGTGCATGCTGCCCACTGTCATGCTGTGTAGAATGTTACCCCTGCTTTGTCCCCTTTAGCAGTTAGGGTCATCCATTCCGA